TACTGTATCCGCAATTCTAGCATCAAAATATAGCTTGTATGTACACAAACAGAATAATCATTTAAATTCTTCAAATGCTGTGATACCTCACTAGGACCTTTTCTCATATAGTACCTACATTAGAAACTAGTCATCCTAATAGAAAAATAGATCAAATGACCTACTCTTATTTGTCATCTTTATCGTTGAACAAAAAAGGAGAAAATGTTCATAAAAGGTTAATATAAGGCAATTGTGGTAAAGTCCATAGAATATAAATAACACATATTCAAATTATTTTGTTTAAAAATTGATCTGCTATGTTCCTGTTCTTATCTTGTCCTACTCTCTTCTACTTTTTTGTCTTACCATCTCTGATATATAAAACTATATTTTTTCTGATGTTGCCACAGTACCAGTATTACCTACGAAAGAGATTCTGAATTTACAATTGATTTTTTAATTAAAATGTATTAAAGCTTTGATGTTTTACCACCTGAAAGATAGAAAGATATGAATATACCAAGGTGTATACCAAAGATATGTAAATACATGAAGGTAATGCAAACATGTAACTAAATTCTATAAAATATTATAGTATGCAGCATAGAATCACAATGGATGTCCCTGTGAAGCTTCTATGGAAAAACACACACAGAAAAACACAAATCCTATCACATTAACATTCCAATAACAACTTAAGCATATACTGTAGGCTAGTTTTCAAATACAAGAGACAAAATTCACTGAAAATAAAATATGTATTTTCCTCATACTGTATCATTAATGTAGCAAAGTGTGGGAAGTACTGTACATTGCTGTGATGAATGCCAAATCACGGGCCGCAACATGTTACCCAGGGACAGCAGTTCACCAAATTAGGAAGTTTGATGAATCTTTGTGCTCAAGAAAAAGTGACCTTTTTTTCAACTTTCAGCAATGCCATTTGGCTGGCCCAGCCATTCTTTCTTTCAAATCTGCAATTATTTCATTTTTGGAAGTCAATACGGAATAATGACTTATTGCCCCTTTACCATCACACGCGCATTCAGGACAGCACATGCATTCTTCCAAATTTTGCACTGTTAAGCTATCCAAGATCTTGAACACTGTGAGTCCAATCGGCCTTACAGAAGAGTCAGAGTTGACTGGAGAAGTGATGCAGCACTTGCTGATAACTCTGGTACCCGGCAAGTCAAATAAGTTGCTGTTGTGTGCTTGAGCTTCCTCTCGCTGTCAGGTAATGGCTTGAAGCAGTGATGTCTGGATTACAACGCTCAACGTTCCCACAGAACAAAAGCTTTCGCTGGATGAGCCGACCAATAGCTTCCATGGGGGAAGTATTTTTGTGGAATCTCTTATTCACAGAAAGAACTTTCAAGATTTTCAGTTGAGCGTGTTTAAATCAAAGCTGGATTCTGGTGCATCAGGCTCACTGTCCCTAATTAGTAAAAAGGGTATCCATGCTCATCAGCCCAGAGCTCACCACAGTTTCAGTAGTATTAAGAGGACTGGTAGACTCCCTGACTGAATGGGGCACTGGTCCATCACAGTGATTACCCCCAAGAAATGCTGGACCCCACTTACAGTATATAATACTTGGTTCTACCTTCAGGCATACAACTGCACTGCCTGTATCAAGGATTCATACACACAACATGTTAGTTATGAATCCAGAGGCTTACCCACTACTCTATACTATCCCCACACCTAACTGGGAAAGCTTTAATTTTCTTACACATCTACAGTACCATCTTGCCATACAGCAGTTTCAGGTCTATGTGCTTTTGGATATGAATGGTGTGATTGTGCCACTGAGCCTTCCTCTGCTCTTTCTCGGTGACCATACCCAAGGAACTACCAACCTTTGGGCACAATGTCTTTTATTTGTCAGTCAAACTGATGCCAAACAGTAAAGTGTTTGTCTGAATATTGAGATACCTTTCAAACACACTTGTTTGCACTGATTCTCATAAATTGTTAAAAAAAAATAAAGCTAGATTACATTTTACTAGTGTTAAAACAGACAGCTTGGTCATGGCATTACATGTCTTCAGATCATCTTTAATTATATATTTTATTATTTTTTCCTTTTTTGTATGAGCCTCCTTCATTCCGAATGTTTTTCCCTCTCAAAATAAATTCTATATTCAGTAAAATAACAGTCCCATAACTTTGGAACTAGACAGAATACGTTCATCTTGAAGTTGCAGTTATATGTTTTATGCTAATCAAAATACTGAGCAGAGTTTCGAAATTTAAGAAATTCAGACTAGGAGAGTTTCCTGAATACCTGAGACATGTAAGCAAGCAATTTAATCAGTTTGCAGAAATGCCAAAGTGCAAAATGGTGTGGATCAATAATAGACATTTTTATAAGGAATGCTCTGAAAAAGATACACATACTGTATAAAGCATATCACTGTAACCAGTACTGTAGTCGGTGAAGTTTTAAAGTTTTCAATTTATGAAACAGAATGAAAAACATAGTGAGAGTTGAGTAAAGGACATTAGAAGCTGACTAAATGAAATATTTTATATTTCAAAGCATTAGTCACATAGTCACAGAGTTTTGAATAGAGTGTCATTTTTCATATCAGAGATCCCTTTCTCTTCTATTTTTCTTCTCAAAATAATTAATGATTATACTGTACTGTATATCCATAAACTTTTAGGCATATACGTTACTAGACATATTTGTACCAGATACATACATAAACACTCCTAGGGAGACACTCAACTTTTTACTGCGTCATTCCTTAAATTTAAATAGCACTTTTCATCTAAAGAAATCTCAGACCACCTTACATATAGAAGGAAGCTCACTTTATCCACCACTGAAGTGCAGTCCAGCAGTCACGGTTCACCAGAAATTATAAAGCAGAGCATCTGATCAGCTGGAGAACTGAAAATATGACCTATTGTAGGTAGGCCAGAAAATAGAAATCCAGAGTGGAATTTAGTCAAGGGACTGAGATTAACATCCTACTCCTACAATGCCGCAGGATCTTTATTGGCCAAGTGGTCACAGCCTTAGTTCAACATCTCATCAGAAGGCTGGCACTACAATCTACACTGGGGCACGAATTTAGGACACCTCTTAGCAAGGTGGAAGACTTCCTACTGGCCACCACAGCACCAACCTGGTTTTCCTTAGAGATGTCCTATCCCAATACTGACCAGGGCCAGCCTATTTTAGCTGCTAAAATCTGATGAGATCAGTCCACATCAGGGCAGTGGGTGATGCTGCAGCCAAAGCAGCAGCCACCTTATTACTATGATCCCATCATAAACAAGGGAAGAATGGAATATGGAATTATGTTCCTGCTGCCTATCTTGTAAGTGCAATATAGCATATCATGAAAACCAAACATTCATTTATTAAGCCTAGAGATACAATGGTGTATGTATAACTTAGAAATTCAAGATAATGTTATTGCAAACATTTTTGCACAACAAATGCCATTTCTGTTTTATACTCAATTAAACTCCCAGCTTAACTGTCAAAAACAAATGTGTTTTTCTGCCGTGGTACTAGGATAAGCATATATATTCCTTGATGGCAGTGCATTAATCTCTTCTTGAGACCCAAAAATTGCTGCCATCAGATTTTTTTCAGCTTTTATTGGTATATATAATAAACATGTCTTCATTTCATGGTAGAGACATCAGTGTAATACATCATGATGACATTACAAATAAGATTGAATAATTTTAATAAATATTACTGTTCTTGTACTTCCATTCAAAAGTACTCAGCACAAAATTACTGTTTCTATCCTAATAATGTAGACTTCCTACACCTAACAAGGAGGAAATACAGTTTTCTAATAATGTGAGATAGTTACCTTAGGCTTACTGCATTTTGTGGTTTAGCAGACTATCACTCCAAATGTAAATATAATATCCAATATAATCCATTTTATTTCTACTTTTCGCTCAATTTAAAACTGCATATCTCAGAGGCTTTCAATGTATTACCTTTCGCAGGGCATTTATAATTATTGTTATCATAATTGTTTATACTTAACGCACACCACCATCTTGCACAGCTTTTCTGCACTGAAGAGGTGGAAGACACAGCAATACAACCAGATGCTTTCTGTGTCTGGCACACCACACAGAGAACTAAACAGGATGGTCTCCTCAGGACAGATTTAGCTTTGTCAGAACCCTTTCACTCTCCATCGAACAATACCTGGCCATGTCCACATGCAGCAACTGCAATATCGGAAAGACTAAGCTACAATCAACAATCTACAAACAATGCTTAAGACATAGGACACAGTAAACTTCAGATGTACCACGCAAAAATCAAAGAACTTTTAGAAGTCTGGGTCTTAGGTCAGGCTCAGAAACCTTGGTAACAATGTTTTCTTAATTTTGTGGTATTTTGTTTAAAAAAAACAATACAATTAAATTATAACATAATGGACATTGTATATGATTCAGCTAAAATGGACAGTTTGCAGCAACATAGGTTTATTGTAAATACCTTTTAACCCATTGTCTGCTCACCTGGTTGGTTGAGATATTTTCACAGTTTATATGTGAAAATATCAATTGCTTATTCTCTTTTTCTCCTGCCTAAATTCTGTTTCCACAACCGACAATTAAAGAGTTAAGTCTTCACTGCCTCAGAATACAATATACTGGAGTATGCAATGACTGTCAGAACAGTAAATAATCCATTCATTAAATCATCATTATCATATAATAAATATATTTGAGGCAGAAGAAGTGTGTACGATCAATGGGATTCAGTGCACACCCTGCATAGAATAATGTACAGTAGCACATGCTTTTAACGAAAAGTGGAAATGATGAATGAGCATCTATTCTAGGGCTCCTATTTCACAGCTGTTATTAATTACCAAAAAAGCATAACCTGTACATGTTTTAGCTTTTAATGTTATTTAATAGATTAATAGTGAGACAGGTTTAGGGCAGGCCTGGCCTAATAGTAGCAAAAAAAGTTAAATCCCCAGATTGCAGCGGGGGGAAAAAAAAACGCAACTTACATTATTCATGTACTCGCTTAGCAGGTCCTGCAGGGCCTGTCGCACAGCATTACACTCGGCCACAATCCTCTCCCGTCGGTCATCACGCGTGCATGAGGAGTCTGCCATCAGGGCTGCTCCGCTGATGATGCTCTCCAAGCGTTCCTCCAGAGATGGCCTGAATCGGGCCTCACTGAAGGTCAGTGGATCTAAAATTATCTTGTTCTGAAACAGAAAGTAAATCCCATTAGGATACAATCCTTCTCGCTCATGCACACACACACACATATAGAGTGCTTTTTTTTTATAAATGTATGTGTTTATCCTTTAAAAGGGCACAATACCTGAGCAAGCTGAGCCGCTATAATCAATGAAAAGTCTACAGGATTTGTTACTCACACTGTAAGATGTGAGCATAGAGTACTGGATGTGTTTGCCACAAAAATATCTGTTTACCTGGCATAAAAATATGATGTGGAAAAACTGCAACCAGAACCTTAAGAATGGCATTCATTAAATGTGTTTCCATGGAATATGTAATGAAACTGATGTGCAGAAAGAATACTCATATTTTCACAGATAGAAGACAATTACCGAGGCCACTGTCTCTGTAAGAGACTTTCTCCAAGGATTTCTTTAGAAAAGCATGAAACCTTATTAACAAAGAAAGACACATTTCAAACATCTGAAGAACTGATGTGCTATAGCACAATACAATGTGAACAAATATATTTGCCTGTTTACCTGTCTTGCATATATTTTGATTCATATATATTAAAGACAGATAAATAGAATAAAAGACGATCACATTTAGCAACAATTATTTCAGCAGATACAAAGCCTATAAGAAACAGTGGAAAGAGGCACAAAGAAGGTGACCTTCAAGGTTACTTTCAGAAATAGTGTTACAGCCGTCTTTGGTTTTATGAAGCTTTTAAGCCCAGAATGCAGAATAACCCTGTTTCACTGTTTAAGTTACTACAAAATAGGTATTTTATGAGCTCTAATGCAGAAAAAAATTACCATATTGATGGTACCAATATTATATTTTATGACTGCTCAATTTAAATATTTTATTCACAGCAGTTCTTTCTGTACTACTGTATACTTTTAAAAGTCTAAGTCATGCAGAGGTAGATGCAGTTTGTAGGAAAGAGCTGGGTTATTAGCAACTAAGCAGTTATTCTTTATGGTACGTGTGTCACTAAGCAAAGGATGTGTTTCTTTTTAAACCTAAAACATCACAAGCATTTACAAAGTATTTAAAAGCCAGTGGGCTCTTGCATGTAAAGAATTTCATTGCACAAAGCGTTCATAATAGCCATTTAACTTTCCTTGTACACCTAATTTCCCCCCACAAATGCCAAAATGTATCAAGCAAGTTATGTACCAAAATATTAAACAATACTTTGTGCATATAAATGTACTCATTGAATAAAAGCAGGAATGAAGTAGTGTTTTATTTGTAAAATATAGCCTTTAATTGTGTTGTGTGAAATGTAAGCACAATACCCCACTGAGTGAGAAACAGCTTTTAGACCTCCTTCCCCATTCCATTAGGAACCCTAGACTCTCGATGGTATATGTGGAACTGTATATGTTCAGTAATGTAAAGAATCCATTCATTGAATATAACGCTTAGCTGAAACCAGCTGTATCCCACGGCATCAAAAGTCTATTAATCTGCAACCAGTTAAAAGCCATCACAATCCATGAATAATTTCCCCTTCCATTTTCCATTATGCTAAAATGCACTGTTATTTCCTCTTTTCATGTTATATAAACATAGCTTAAACACTTTAGGTCCCATGCCTCTTTAAAAAACATAGCCTTTTACATTTCAGAAAAAATACGGCACAAACAAGACAATAAGGGATAGATCTACCATATCATTAATATTATTATTACTACAATTACTGTTATTATTATCATCATTATTTTTGACCACTACTATAAGAGTTGTGAGAATTAAAAAAACAATAGTTCTGTTTCCTCAGCGGCATTGTCTTGAGATCTTAAATGCAAAGCTCTGTTGAATAGCTGGATGGATTTGTGTGCACACTGCTACCTAAAAATGGGATAAATAATCCTGTAACATGAATGGCTGTTTGTCATATGTGGTACATAATAAGATAAAGGTCTGGGATGGCTGGATTAATATAACCCACTTTCACAGGAAAAGGAAAAATGGATAAAAACTTTTAAGAGAATATATATTGTACTTCAAAGTTGGTTGCTACAGTAACATAGTCAGTGCTTTTAAGATTATTAATGGATTTATTTTTGGTGTACTATTTTGTCCTCCATTCAAAAAATACTGCCCTATTTTTTTTAGAAATTTACAGGCAAAATACTGTAATTTTGACACTCAAATAAGAAACTGAAAGGACGCCTATAGAACATTGTAATTTGGTTCTTATCCAAAGAGCGGTGACACTGTGGCTAAGGATCTACCCCTGTGGCTGGAAGGTTGCTGGTTCAAATCCTGTGGCCAGCAGAGAAATCTGACTCCATTGGGCCCCTGAGCAAGGCCTTTAACTCCAACTGCTCCAGGGGTGTTACACGATGGCTGACCCTAAGCCTCTCTGTCTGTGTGTCTCATGGAGAGCAAGATGGGGTATGTGAAAAGACAAACTCCTAATACAAGAAATTGTATATGGCTAATAAAGTGATCTTATATCAAAGATGGAAAATCAGATGGCTTGCTGTATGTTTTGTGCAAAGCAAAACATGTGTATTTGGACATTATGACCAATAGATCAAGAAATCCAAAACAATATGTTTTTATGACATAATAACACCAAATACTATAACTGAGAATTCATTTAGATGTGATTAATATTCCAGTGGAATGTGGTTGACTACGTTTCAGACTGTGAACATAAGCTGTAGGCGCTTTCTTTCCATCTCCAATACAAAGCCAAACCTGCACATTTATAGTATAGCTACAACAAAAACAGCAACGATTAATAGTGTGTTTGTGATGATGATGACAATGATGATGATGATGATGATGATTTTTCTTTTTATTATTATTATTATTATTATTATCATCATCATCATTATCATTCAAAACACGTATTGAATATCCGACACTTTATCTTGGAAAAAAACTTAGTGGGATACAAAAAACATAACAGAATTACTGAAAACTTCTGAAAGTCATTTGACTGGAAAGGTTTTTTTCTTCCCAGACATAAACTGCTTTGCCAGTTCCAAGCAAACAGCTACCCACATATGTCCTGTCTCAATGTTAAATAAAAATAACTGAGGTTTTTAAATGTGTCAGCTGTCTTAGTTTTTCATGTTTTAGTATTACATTTTGTGCTAAATGAACCACAAATTAAATGTGAAGTTTTCTGTGTGTTTTCAAGGATATGAGAAGTCTTGAAACGTGTTGTTCAATGTTCTAAAATTTTGTAAAAAGCTTTTCTGTGTTCCTGACACTCTGGTGACACTTTTCATCAAGAAAAAAAAAAGCTTTTAAACATTTTTTTGTTTTGAAAGCTCAATAATGTTCAAGTGCAAGACTGGATTGTAAAAATATCCCAATGAAATCTGCATGTCAGTGTTTTTGTCCCTTCAATTTAGATAATCATTTGTTTATACATAGCTTTATTTATTTTCTCCATTTAAGACTTTTTTGTACTATTAACACTCTTATCATGCTTTTTAATCCCTTTTTAATATTTGTTGCTTGCTTTCATATAGCACTTCACATCCCAAAGTGCTTTGCACATACAGTAGGAGAGAACTTACTTAGACCATCACTAAACCCTACTACACTTAAGAACAGTGCTTAATGAGCAAGCGGAGAAAATAATGCATACTGGTATCGCACAGACAGGAAGCAACTAAGTGAAGAAGGATTCTGTGTTCTTATGGCCATCTTTAATCTGTCCTGTTTTGTGATTGTTTTCAATTTCAGGTAAAAACTAAATAAAATGACACCTGAAACTGCTTTCTGGTCATCCATGAGGGGCCGACAGGGAATATTTACCCTGAATAGGCGCAACATTTTTTTTTTCAATGAAAACAGAAAAGGGCAGAAGGGGTGGTGTTATGGAAATATATATATTAGTAACTATAACACATAGTGCAAAGGTGACATCGTTACTGGAAGATTTCACCTATCCACACATAAAATGTGACTTTGTGATAGGAAATGCAGAAACAGAGAATTATAAGAGAATAAAGCCCTTCACTGGTATAAATTGAACACATCTGCCTTGACTGACTGCACTCCTGTGGAATTCATAGCAGAAAAGGGTTTATCTGATTGGCCACGTGCTTAACTGGACACTTCTTATGAGTGGCAGCATTCAGTATATCAGCTGTCTGGTGCAGAAGGCAGGGAACCCTCTCTCCTTCTGAGCAGGGGCAGGGAGTCTAAGCTTCTGCAGTTCAGGGATGGAGTGTGTTAGCGGATTCTTGAATTATAGAGAATTTAGATAGTTCAGGAGAGTTTATTCATCTCCTGTGATTTAACATCTGCCCCTCACTGGCAGTCCCGTCCAGTTCAGGCTTGAGAAGGTGGAAAGAGATAATGAAGACTAGCAAGGATTTTGTTAGGCAATGGAATGGAATTTAGTAATGATGGATGGATCCAGTGACTTCACTAATTATTCTAGTGTTCGGTATTGCTGGATTAGTGGTTACAGCTGGAAACTGGGAGCCTGGGGGTAAAGCATACCAGTAGAGACAGGGTAAGGAGACGGAGAACATCCATCTTCCAGTGCAGGGAAGGCTGGCTGTGGAAGGGTGAGACCGGTTGGGTGTGCCAGGGGTAGAGTAGGAATTGGGCAGGTTTCTTCCTGGAAAAGGAAGACTGGCCATGGATGGGAGAGTCCGACTGAGTGTGACAGGGGTTCCATGGAATGAAAGTAATGAGTACATATTTGCAAATAAGAGAACTGTTGAATTCAGGACTGCTCTGACATCTGTTCTGACCCTCTCAGTGGAATAGAGGACTGAAGAGTTGTTCCATGTGAGAAGAGGGACTGAAGATCTTTTGGGGACTAATACCCCTGTGAAGGACGCTTCTCCCAAAGGGGACCACTGGTACTGTAGATCCTATACCACTGGTACATCCTAGGAACAGTGACAGACCACCCAACTGTGCACATGAATGAAATTTGGTGATATGCTGGCTCAAGGCTGCAGTTTTTTGGTGTGTGTGTGTGGGTGGTGGTGGGGGGGGCGGTTAGCATTCCCATGTGGTTAAC